AAAAAAAAAAAAAGCAGAAGACCGGAAGACTACCTGATAATATGTCTATCAGATAGTTGCCTATTGTTCAAAATGAGTATTTTTTTAACCTTTTTCTTTCAATCGTGCTTCTTCTGTATTAGCCTTTTAAAACTATCTTTAGCATAGACATAAACACTTCCCTATTATCAAGACATTATTTTTGAAATATCAAAATAAAATATCATGACTAGAACAAAATTAATAGTAATTTTTTTTTGGAGATGGAGTTTCACTGGAGTGAAATGGTGCGATCTCGGCTCACTGCAACCTCTGGCCTCCCGGGTTCAAGTGATTCTCCTGTCTCAGCCTCCTGAGCAGCTGGGATTATAGGCATGTGCCACCACCTCGCCCAGCTAATTTTGTATTTTTAGTGGAGACGGGATTTCTCCATGCTGGTCAGGCTGGTCTTGAACCCCTGACCTCAGGTGATCCACCCACCTCGGCCTCCCAAAGTGCTGGGATTACAGGTGTGAGCCACTGTGCCCGGCCAAAATTAGTAGTAATTTAAAAATATTCTCAAATTATACTTCCTCAAGATTTTGACATGAACTCTTATCATGGGAGGTTGGATGGAAGGAGTGAGTGGCATATGAGAATAGTGTTTTTTTCCTATTCATTACCTTTTATATAGAATTTTAGCTAAAAAATCTCATTATATTAATGAACATTAAGCAATGCAGAATTCTAATGAAATATTAACCTTTTCAGCACTTAAATTGTTTTATTTTTACTATTTTTGGAGGTTGATGTTTTAAAAATAGATCCCTCACTCATTACCTTTGGCAATAATACAGCGACACTGACTTTTTTTTGATGATTTATAGCCATCATTATTAATGTGTTCTACTCTGCTGTAATACAGTGATGTTAGGTCACAAGAGAACTATGCGTTGTTTTCACCCCAACCATAACCCCACATTGCTATGTTTCTATAGTTCTTGTTTCTTGTTTCGGTTTTTTTATTTCTTCCCAATTTTTTTTTTTTCCCTGTGGCACCTTGTAATGCAAAACTGCTATCATCTTGACCATTAAAGCTGGTTTTAGGTTTGAGAACCAGAGAATGATAGCAATAGTTATATTGTTAGAATGAAAATAATAACAGTAATAATAAAAGTATCTATTTTTATTTATTTATTTTTTGAGACAAGGTCTTGATCTGTCACCCATGCTGGAGTGCAGTGGCTCAATCATGGCTCACTGCAGTCTCCATCTCCTGGGCTGAAGCAATCCTCCAGCCTCAGTCTTCCAAGTAGGTAGGACTACAGGCATGCACCACCATGTCCAGCTAATTTTTTAATTTTTAATACAGATGAGGTCTCGCTATGTGCCCAGGCTGGTCTGGAACTCCTGAGCTCAAGTGATCCACAGGTTTGGGCCACTGGGCCTGGCTAAAATATCTGTTTTTTAAGTAACATCTATGCATCGCATTCATTATTTCATTTAAGTCTTACAACAAGCTTATGAGGTAACAATTATTATCCCATTTTATATGGAAACTGAGATTCAGAGATATTAGGCAATGTGGTCCAAGTCACTCAGCTACTAAGTGGGGGAACACAAATTTGAACCAAGGTTGTTCTAACTTTAGCTTATATGTGGATAAAGACCTCACAGGATGGTTATGTAGTGTTAGTCCAGTTAGATCTCTGGACATCTATTTTGGGAGGCCTTTTTTTTTTTTTTTTTAGATGGAGTCTCGCTCTGTTGCCCAGGCTGGAGTGCAGTGGCGTGATCTGGCTCACTGCAAGCTCCACCTCCCAGGTTCACACCATTCTCCTGGTCCAGCCTCCTGAGTAGCTGGGACTACAGGCGCCAGCCACCACGCCCGGCTAATTTTTTGTAATTTTAGTAGAGACGGGGTTTCACTGTATTAGCCAAGATGGTCTTGATCTCCTGACCTCGTGATCCGCCCGCCTCCGCCTCCCAAAGCACTGGCATTACAGGCATGAGCCACCGCGCCTGGCCCACTCTGAGGCTTTTCTTTTGCATACTTTCTGATTCTTTGCTGTGTTTTAGAAAACTGAGATTAGATTTTGATACTGATTTATGGATAGGTTATTTGGCAATGATTATGGTGTGATGCAAATAATTTCAAAGATTTGTTCTTAATAACAGCTATGCTCATTGTAGATGACCCAATAAAAACAGTGATTGGTAGATCTGGTTGCTAATACTCCGAATGCTTTTCTGAGTATGTTTGCCTCTAAAATGAAAGAGCTTAATTGCATTCTGAAAGCACTGTTATGTGGAAATAGCAAAGCCAAATTGTATTTGTGTGTTTTACATTTCTTCTGTTCTAATATTAAGTAGCAATTACCTTTAAGTTCTTATTACCTTTAGAAAAGCATAAAATTCTGGTGAACTAAAAGAAGCCCATTTAAACTTCGAAACTACTTTATTTTAGCAAACCCACAGATAATAAGAATGAGGAGAGAATGTATTAACACCTTCTTTCTTCCACTGTATTTAAAGCCCATTTAAATTATAGGGCCAATTTAAGCAATCTTTTGCATCTTGCAAGTAGGTAATGTAATTTCTATAAAGGTACTCATTAAAAAAGGATTCCATTACAAAAATATTTTGTTATTATGCATTGCTATCATAAATGTCCTATTGCTAAACTGTGAATTTTTTTTAAGCTCTGGAAGCCATTTCCTTGGAACTCAAAACCTATTACTCAGTTCTCCTCTTGAGATCAGACTGTAAGAGCATTTACGCAATGGTTGAGGTCACAGAGTGTTATGATTTTAAGGGAGGAAATTAAACATTAGGAATTGATGAACTGCTAAAGTTGAAGTGAGTGGTAAATAACAGATTAAAAAAAGAGTACAAAAGTTATCACAGGCACTGAGAATATTTTAAATAACAGATATTATACAAATAACTCTTCTCTGGGACAAGAGAGGTGAGGGCAAGTAGTGTTTGCTTCTTTCCCTCTGCAAATGGAACAATCAATTAATTAAATCTTTTTTTTTTTTTTTTTGAGGCAGGGTCTTACTCTGCTGCCCAGGTCAGAGTGCAGTGGCACTATCATGGCTCATTGCCACCTCTGCCTCCTGGGCTCAAGTGATCCTCTCACCTTAGCCTCCCAAGTAGTTGGGACTACAGGCATGTGCCACCACACCCGACTAATTTTTGTGTTTTTTGTAGAGACAGGGTTTTGCCATGTTGCCCAGGTTGGTCTCCAACTTCTGGGCTCAAGCGAGCCACCCCCACGGCCTCCCAAAATGCTGGGATTATAGGCGTGAGCCACTGCACTCGGCCCAATTCAATTATTGAGGTTTTGAGAAGCACACTGATATGCTTTTGGGATATTCTCTGTATTCTAATCAGATTAGTACTGCCCATGGGCTCAGGAAAAAAAAAAAAAAAAAAAGGAGGTATACCCAATAGCATAATAATATTTGTGTAAGACAAAATGATCCAAATCCAATAGTTTCTTTCTTTTTTTTTTTTTGAGACAAGGTCTCACTCTGTTACCCAGGCTGGACTGCAGTGGCATGATCTTGACTCACTGCAACCTCTGCTTCCCAGCTCAAGTGATTCTCCAGCCTCATCCTCCCGTGTAGATGGGACTATAGGTACAAGCAACTAACGCCTAACTAATTTTTGTATTTTTTATACAGACTGGGTTTCTCAATGTTGCCAAGGCTGGTCTGGAACTCCTGAGTTCAAAGCAATCCACACGCCTCAGCATCCCAATGTGCTGGGGATTACAGGTGTGAGCCACCATGCCCAGCCCCAATTCAGCAGTTTCAATAATAAAAAGGCCCTATCAGCAGCAGCCATATTGGGGCACGCTCAACAGGCAACTACAGAAATATAAAGCCAAGAATTCTATCAAATTGTGGACAAAGCTTTAGGGATAATCTTAATTCTATACTAAAAATGGCCAAATTGTGGAGGTAAAGCCTGATCTCTATCCTAGAACTGACATGAGGCACTTATCAGGAGGGCTAGCTTGATACTTTAAAGGCTTTTGAAATTTGTTGATGGTACCCATAGCCCACTTATAACAACTGAGAAGCCTCTCGGCTTCTCTCCTAGGGTTCATTAACAGTAAAGCATCATTACTGTTGTCCCTAACAGCATGGAGGTGTGCTGGAACTCTCAGCCATACAGTTGAGGTCTTTGAACAGGAAATCATAGGTTCATAGAGTAGCAAAGGTCTAAACTATTTCTTAAAGATATGGCCATATCTTTCACTAACACCAACGTTTGGCAACCTTTGAGGATTTATAACTGACTTCAGGACCTCCATCAGCCCTTCTTTATTTAGGTGTTATTAATTTTTAAGAGATGTGCAAATTCATGGTTATTTTTCTTAGTTATTTTTCTTTCCTCCTGGGGACCAGAAGGAAGCAGTGTGACAGTCAACTTAACAAAACATTCTTGCAAAGGAAAAAAACAAATTAAACCTGAATTTAATCAAGCCTTTGTATCTTTCAATCTATAGCATACATCAGAGACAGAGGAACATAACCTAAGGAAGTAATCAGCCAAATCCATTCATCAGTACACATGATCCATTTTCTCTAGCAAGTCAATGGCACAACAACAACAAAAAGGGTGGGGGCAGAAAATGTTCTCATTTAATAGAGACTTAAACAAATACACTGAGTGGACCTTAACGCAATCCTTATCAAACAAAACAATTATAAAAAGGCACTCTTTTTCTTGATATGTGGGAGAAATTTGAATATGATCAGGGTATTAGATGATATTAAAGTATTATTTATTTTGTTAGATGAGATAATACCATTGTGGTTAGGTAAGAGAATACTGTTGTTAGTATTATTATTTCAAATGTATATCAAAATGACATGTCTAGAATTTGCTTTTAAACAATCCAGTCCTCTCTCCCCACTAAAACGCAGGGTGGGGTGGGGGTATTGATAAAACAATTACAGAAAAATGTTGATAGTTACTGAAGCTGGGTGATGGGTACATGGGGTGGGGGTTCGTTCCCTACTTTTGGGTATATTTGAGAGTTCTCATATTAATTATTTTTAAAAAGAGAGAAAGAAGCAGTTTGGGCAAAAAGAGAAAAAGAGGAAGAAGGAACTAGGGATGAGAATAAAAAGGAGAAAAAGTTTGGAAAGTTGCTGTGTTTTGTTCATACCAAACTCAGTGACTCATAAGGAAGATGAATTCCTATTTCATTAGGACCTGCACTTGTGCAAAGGATCCTAATACTATATTTCTTTTTTTTGGGAATAGTTAATTCATGATAGGAAACGTAAAAAGAAGGCATTTAAAAGTTTGTTAGTTAAAGCAAGCCAAACCAACCCCATATATGAGATAACAAGATTATTTTCATACCCTGGTTTCATAAAAACCCTGCCAAAATGGATCTGAGCATGAAGATCAATGTCCAGCACCTGCTTGAGATAGTCCTGCAAACATTAAAAATAATCACTTTACTTTCAAACATTTTAATATTAGACTTTCAACACTTTAAATGAACATTAAATTAATTTATAAGATTGAAATGAAAAGAAACATCTTTCTTATTTTAATGAAGTTGATTTGCGTAACACAATATTCCTTCATTCCTCATTTATCCATTTATTCATTCAATAAATAGTCGCTTAACACTTGGTATATGATGAGTACCAATCTATGTGCAGGGGCATACAGCCTTGAACAAAAGAGACAACGTCCCTGTCCTCATAGAAAGTACATTCTAGTAGGAAAAGTTAGATAAAAACAAAACAACTACATTAATGTATAACATCACTAGCTGGTGGGTTGTTTCTCTTCTAAGATAGAATTTTATGTCTGAGGAAGGATGTTAACAAATATGTCTTAAGTTGTGCCTGGGCAAGCAACCTACATGTATGTATCCTACACCATTCTGCTTAATGATCTTAAAGCCATATACATTCCTTGAAGAGAGACTTGAACATATGTCCACAGACTTGAACATATGCCCACAGATTATTTAGATTTGTTAAATCTAAATAACTCAACTAAAATGAAAAACAGGAAGGGAACTCTAAAACAGAAAGTCAAGGGAGTTTAACTACTCCAACTTTATATTCTAGTATTAAAAACAAAACTAACCTGTGGCTATGACCAACCCACAGATTCCCAAATCTGATCTTTGGAAATGATATATAACACCGCTCTGCAGCTGGTGGTGTAGACAGAAAGAAAAAAATTGCAGTCCTTAACATTTCTCTTAAATAATACAAACCTAGCTAGGTCTATTACTAAATTTTTTGGTTTACTAATCTAAAAGTGAGTCCAGTAACCTGCCTACATTTTAAATATTTCACAAGCTATGAGGTACTTTTATTTGTAAACATGTGTTCCCTTCTATCTCCACAGCCTCAACCAACATCATCTCACTCCTTGCCAATAGTGCCACCCTCCTCCTGTGGGGAGAATGAATTACAGGCACGCACCACCACGCCCAACTAATTTTTGTATTTTTAGTAGAGACAGGGTTTCACCAGGTTGGCCAGGCTTGTGTCAAACTCCTGACCTCAGGTGATCCACCTGTCTCGGCCCCCCAAAGTGCTGGGATTACAGGCATGAACCACTGCACCCAGCCATATCATCTTTTAAATATCAAAGATTCCTATATTTTCTAGTCCCCTAGTCATTGTTCTCATCCATCTCACCCGGCCACATTCCTCTGTATCAATCTTTCTCTGCGTCTACATTCTAGCAAGACTCCTTCCTTCCTTCCTTCTCCCCTGCCCCGCACCCCCTCTCCCCCCGCCACTCTCTCTCTCTCGTTCTCTCTTCTTCTTGAGACAGGGTCTCACTCTGTCACCTAGGCTGGAGTGCAGTGGCATGATCTCGGCTCACTGCGACCTTCACCTCCCAGGTTCAGGCAATTCTTGTCCCTCAGCCTCCCAAGTAGCTGGGTGGGATTATAGGTGCATGCCACCATGCCTGGCTAATTTTTGTATTTTTAGGAGAGACAGCATTTCACCATGTTGGCCAGCCTAGTGTTGAACTCCTGGCCTCAAGAGATCCACCCGCCTTGGCCTCCCAAAGTGTTGGAATTACAGACGTGAACAAACACATCTGGTCGGTTTTTCAAGCTCTTGCCTCTAGTCTTTGAAAATGTTCTTCTTTCTGCCTTGAATACTCTTTCTACCCCACTGTCTATCCCACCTTCATCTTAGTCTCAGTCATCTTCTCAGCCTCCTCTGAATTCCAAAGACTGGGGGACTAGATGAAATACTGATTATTAATTAACTAACATATTTTTCATTTTGAGGTTATTTTATTAGATATAATAAATTTGTAAATGTTACTTACATATTCTTGATGAATTAACTCGTTTAAAATAATAAAATGTCCCTCCTAATATCTAGTAATCCTTTTTACCTTAATTTTCTCTATTTGCTCTACATAAAAATGTATTATAAGAAAAGAAAAAGAATTCTCTGTTATCAATATAGCTACACTATAACTTTTTCAAATCTTTTACTTTCAGTTTTCTATGTCTTTATAAGCAGTATATGATTAGCTATTTTTTAAAAAATCCAGAATGACAATTTTTAACTGAAGGATTCAGTCTATTTACATTTAGTATAATTTTTCTTTTCTTTTTTTTTCTTTTTTTTCTTTTTTTGAGACAGAGTCTTGCTCTGTCACCCAGGCTGGAGTGCAGTGGCGCAATCTCGGTTCACTGCAACCTCCATCTCCTGGGTTCAAACGATTGCATGCCTCAGCCTCCTGAGTAGCTGGGACTACAGGCACATTCTACCACATCCAACTAATTTTTGTATACAGACGAGGTTTCATCATATTGGTCAGGCTGGTCTCGAACTCCTGACCTCACATGATCAGTCTAACTCAGCCTCCTGAAGTGCTTGGATTACAGGCATGAGCCACCACACCTGGCCTGCATGTAGTATGATTACTGCTATATTTGGGTATAAAACTATCACTGTACCATTTGTCACTTCTGCTTTTGTTTCCTTCTTTCTTCTTCTATACGTCCCTTAGGATTCATAAAATATTTTTTATTTAATATTCTTTCCCCTCTATTAGCTTGTTAGTTACATATTCTTATATTATTATTTTAGTAGTTGTTTTAGAGATTATAATATGCATCCTTGACTTATTACAGTCTACTCATAATTGGGTTTTTAAAAATCACTTCCCAGACAATACAAGAACCTTAAAACATATCAACTCAATTTATGCCTTTCTACCTTTTATGCTGTTGTGTGTATATATTTTACATGCATTTTAAGCATATACATATGTGCATGTATATGTTTACATTTTAAGTATATGTATTTTATTTATTGTATATATTTTCTACATATACTATGTTGTATATTTTCTACATATACTATGTTGACAATATATACTTGATATTTATATATTCACTGTATAGTATTTATTTATATTTTAAGCCTCACAAGGCATTATTATTTTACACGATCAACACTTATTTACATTTGCTGACATGTTAACCCTCTTTAGTCCTTTCTGCATTTCCATGCTTCCATAATCCTTCTACTTTAAAAACTCTATTTAGTCTAGGTCCGTACAGTTTCTGTTTGGCTGAAACTGTCTTTATTCCACCTTCATTTTTGAAATAAATTTTTGATGACTATAGAGTTCCCTATTGGCAGTATTTTTTTCCTGCACTTTACAAATCCCAGTCCATTGTTTTCTGGGTTCCGTCATTTTCACTTCAATCATTTGTTAGTTTTATTGTTGCTCCTTTGAAGGCAATGCGTCCTTATGGTAAAATTTTCTCTGTCTTTGGTTTTCAGTAGTTTTGCTGATTACCTAGGTATGGTTTCTTTCATTTATCTGGCTCGAGATTAGTAGAGCTCCTAGAATTTCTGGCTTGATGTCTTTTGTTGATTTTGGAAAACTCTCTGCCAATATTTTAAATACTGTTTTTGCTCACTCTGTCTCCCCTCTCCTTCTTAGACTTCATCTACATATATGTTTGACCTTTCACCATATCCCATGTGTCTTTTATGCTCATTTCTAAATTTTCTATCCCTTTTTTAAAATTTCTATTTGATTCTTACGAATAGATTCCAGTTTTCTAGTGAAATTTCCCATTTTGTCATCACTTTTTCTTAAACATATAATGGTTATTTAAAGTCCATGTGAGACAATATAAATATCAGCATCATTTTTAGGTCTAGTTTATCAATTGTTTCCTATCTTAATTTTTAGTCATTTTGCTCTATCTCTGACAGGTCTGGTAACTTTTCAAATGGAAGCCCAAATATTAGGTGTGAAAAAGATGAAAAGGCTTTGGACAATGATATATTCCTCCAAAAAGAATTTCAGGTCTTCTGGCAGTTAAGGAAAACTCAAATTGTCTTCATCTAATCAGGGATTGAGATAGTTTGATGCTGGATTTCAGTCCCTGTGATGGCTAGTTGATCTCCAGTTTGTCTTTATTCCTAAAGCATAGCCCTTCAAGGGTTTAAACTGAAAGCCTGAGATATTTACCAGGGCTCCTTCTCTATAACAGGTCCTGAACTCATAAGACTGATTAAAATCCTGCTTATTTCATTAGCTTCCTCGCTATTTTTTTTTATGCTTGGCTTCTTTGCCTCCTGTACTATTAGAGCTCTCATCCCACCTCATTCCTGGCTTAGGAATTAGTAAATGCTTTGAGGAAAAATATGGTGAAGAATTCCAGTTTTACTTCTCTGTGGTTCACTTTTCTCTGGGATCTTAGTGCCTGGAATCCTGGCTGTCTTGGTTATTCTCTTCAGACATCTGCTTTTTCTTTTCTTCAAAAAAATTTATATAGTTTTCATAGATGTTCTTGGTGGGAGGATTGGTCCAAATATGCTATTCTATCATAACAGAAGCAGAAATCTTCAGATCTTTCTTATATGCTCTTATAGCACTAAATGCTTCTAACATTATGCACTTAGGTTATAGAGCAACTGCTTTGATAGCTGATACGTATCCTTTGTTAAACTATAAAGTTCTTGAGAACAGGAACCTTGTCTTTTATATCTATATCTATATCATGAATCCTTAATGAAGAGCATACACCTTTCACTCATTCATTTGTTAGTGCACCAAACATTTCTGAGTGCCTATTACGTATTAGGAATTCCATATGTGCTAGGCATTTAATGGTAAAGAAGAAAGACATAGTCCCTGACACGAAGATATCCTGTTATATTTTACTGGAGAGAAATAGCCAAAAACAAGTAAACCAACAAATAAAATAATTACAATTTGTGGTACATGCTATGAAGGAAATAAGCAGGTGCTGGGATAGAAAATGATGAGGGTGTGGAGAACAGGAAAGTTCATTTTAGAAGAAGTAGTGATATATTAGCTAAGCCTTGAAGGATAAGAAGGATTCACGCATGTGAATTGTGGAGGGAAGAGAATTCCAGAGAAAGGGACATACAAATGAAAGCTTCCGAAG